GGTCTGAAGGCTGGTTAAACAGAGGCTGAAGCAGGTGAATCAGATGAGTGGTAATGAGAACTGGGCAGAGATAGAGAGATGAAAGAAATGAGTATCAGACCAGACATCAGTGCCAAGATCATAACAGAAAGTCGGAATTACAAGTCGGAAGATTGATGCAACCTGACTTCCACATTCAAGATGGATGCTTGTCAGGTCAACAGTAGCTAAACGTTCCAACTTTGACCGTTTGTAGCAGTTTGTATTTATACAGCAGTCATCCAGGTACTTCTAAGTGTTTAAAGGATGATATGTTTCAATGCTGTGTGTTTGTGCAGAATACTGTATAGACAATGTTGTTTTTTTTTTTTGTTGTTTGCGGTTGTTTGCTGTTGATGGTGTAAAGGTAGAGACATATACAGTAATTAATCTCATAGAGTACCTCTGTAACACAGCATTAGGTCTTAATGTATAAATTCAGACTCAAAATTTAATCAAATGCGACTACACTGCAATTTGCAAGGACTGCCATCAAAATGCAATTAATTCCATTCACATATTTTGTAATTTCTGTAGCATTAAATATATTAGTATGAATACATTTTGGATGTTTTTTCCAAAATGCAGCACTCCTCTATTTCAAAAAATGTCACACAGTGTCAGATTCTGCATATAATTACCTCTAGAAGTTGGTTCTTTAGTTATTTATTCATCAACTAAACATCATCTAAATATATATTTCTTAATGTATGCAATACCAGAACAATGTGTGTTGAAAAATCAATAAAAACTGAATTTTCCACCAAGCAGATGATCTAATGTGTTAATTTTAAGTTTATACACCTAAATATTTGCCTTTTCTATTTGTAATTAGTTAGAATTCTCCCTCTGCATAAGATATTTCTTTTGAAGCCCAAAGTTATTTGTTATGTGAAGCTCTTGTTGACAAATGACCAAACAGGTGATTAGAATTTCAGCCCCTTGGTGAGTGAAGACTTTGTCACTAGTGACTTGGCCAATGGTATTGGTTTGCGGAGCATTATCCAGTTAAGAGGAAGGATCATTTATAAAGCTTTTTAGTATAAATGGTCAACTCATTACGTTTGTGTAGAGAAAACCCCTATTCACTTCTTAAAACCCAAGCAAAAAGTAATAAAGTAAATAATGTGTCAGAAGTATTACACAATGCTTCCATGGATTGTATTACATTTTGGGGTGTTTATTGCATTATGTATTTGTAGTTCATTACACATGGAGTTGCTGAACCACCTTATGAGAGCAAATGAAAAGCTGTTTCCTCAGGATTCAGACTTGCGCTTAAACAATTCCTATAAAAGTAACAATTTGCAGCTAAAAAGCTGCTGTAATCGAGTTTGCATTAGAGGGAAGAGTTTACTGTACAAAAGTTATGTGTTTTAAAGGTCTTGCAGGGGGAGTATGAGTTGAAAATTGCTGCTTTAAGACATCAAACACAAATGACTGACACCCCAAGTAATCTCTCTCTAACGAAACCGCTTTAGTCTTCACAGCATCTAATTACAATCAATTTTAGCCACATGGATGTTGAGAGAAAACATTTTATGTATTTCAAAACCTGTGACTTTTGGAAACTGCTATCTACATCTAAACCACGAAAGCCTGTCAGAGTTATGATAACAGAAGTAGTTTTATCTCAGGAAAGGCGTGACAAACAACCCTGAATATCACCTTTATATGTTCTGACTGACTTATCTCTGCGATGTTGAACAAACTGATGGTGTGATGACAGCATTTATTGCTTTTTGACTTCCCTGACATATATCAGGGGAGGAAAGCTTGCCTTTAAAGTCTAGATCAGAAGATGTGTATAAGTGATAAGAAAGCCTTATCTGTCCTGCAGGAGTTTATCTGCATCGTCCTCTTATCCACGTCTTAGTAACACCTCAAAGACAACATTCAGGTTTCACTTTCAATTGAATAAAAACATGACTGATTTTTTTATCTCTCTGGTCAACTCTGTTACAACCTGTATTAGTGAAGGTTCCTGTAGTATTCAGTTCCCTGCTTTGCTCAACGACACTCCGGTGCTTACTTTGCTGTGGTTTTCCAAAATCATTTTACTTTCAATCTATCATTCTTACTACCAGGCTAGAGTGTTTTTATGCAGCGAATGTCTGCTCTTCTGTCTAATATAATCTGTTTCAATAAGCTGTCATCTGAGGTTCATGAGGCCAACTCCATGCCTAATTAGCTTGGGTGTCGTTTGCATTTAAAGTGCCGTTACACAGCGTGAGAGCTTAAGTAGTTCTCAGTCTGCTTTTAGAGATGATATTATTCAGTGCTTTGCTTAGATAACTGGACATATTTTCATTTGGTTCAATAAAAGGGAAAGGTATCACTACCTGCTTTAACTTGCAAAAAAAACTATGTTTCAGCTTAAGCAAAAGGGAGATATTTAACAGCTTCAGTGGAAGTATTTGTCTGCAGACATTCATGTCGTGATTTATGGAAATTTGCATTTCTATGATTTCTCTGATCATTGTTCTGAGAATGCAGGATAAAGCTGCTCATTTAGAAGCCTCTTTTTCACAAACACACTTAACAGCTTCTCTTAAGCTTTTTGCTATTTGGGACTTTTACTCTGGACTTTAGGCTTTTCTAACACAGGAATGTGCTTTTACCTAATCTCTTGAATTCTGGCTGTATGTTTAGTATCACTGTCCTGCTGAAAAGTGAACCTTTATTCCAGGCTTATGTGTTTTGGCACTTCAAGCAGGTCTTTTGTTTTTGTTTCCATGATTTAGCTTCATTTATTTTCCCATCAACGTGAACAGCTTGAACCTGCTGAAAAAACACATTCTCATAGCATGACAACAGATTCATTATACAGATGGTGTATTCAGGATAATGTGAAGCAACCATTTTGCATCAATTACTTTTAGTCTTGTTTGATCAGAGCATCTTTTCCTATGTTTGCTGCTACCTGTCTTGAGGGAAGCTTTGAAAGGGAATTGTTATGACTTTCATTTTGTGCCTGCTCTACAGAGACCATATTTATTAGGTGTATCTGACCCTCTGCAGTTACCATGCGCCCCCTGTTGCTTCACTAATTGATCCCCTCCAAATGGCCTATCTGCACAGTTTGAGTTTAGTAACCGTATACAGCTTGTTTAATGACACACTCTGGGACACAGAATTAACTATCTTTGGTACAATTCAAAAATACTTTATTAATCCCTAAGGGAAATTAAAAAGTTTCAGTAACTCATAGTTTTTTGTTGTTTTTTTATCACCTATTTCTCATGTAGTTGTTGTTTAGGTGCTGATAGTATTAGGTATATTATGTATCGTCTGTCTTGAGAAGTCTCTGACTGAAGAAACCTTTTTATATTTGTTTGTTGATTGCCACAGAAAGGACTGGTTATTTCCCATTTATAAATGCCAAACTTATCACTTCTTTTCCTTCTTTTTTTGCAAGTAAGCACCTTTCTGAACGTGCAGACCCGCCCCTCTTCTTCCAAAACTCTCCCCATTTACTTAAGCTCCTGTGGTTCCCCGTGATTTATGACAATGTTTTATGAGTGGATAAATAAGTCGCTTTATACATCTTTCTATTAAAAAAATAGACAAGATAATATTAATTTTCTTCATGTTTATAAACAGTTTAAAACAGTTAATGTGACAGCTTAAATGTATCAGGCTACTTATTGAGATGCTTCTATAACTGTTACAGCTATGATTTATTTATTACCAATATAATGTGGTGCATCTCCATCTAGAGCTGCATTTCTAGTTGCTGATATGTAGGTAAGAGCTGTCATACTGTGGGATCCTCATTCTAAATATCAGACGCTGTCAAATAATCAATGCAAGTCATCTTTAAGAGCAAGGCTGTAAAAAACGGACGTCCTAGAACCTGCCAATCAAAGATTCATCTAAGATTTTTTCTTCAGCCCACGTCTGGTACGGGAAATGATCATAGTGTATACTAGGGCTGGGTAAAAAATCGATTTTGAATCGTTTCCTTTACATTTTTGCAAAAGCGATGTGTAGCGTATGAGATTCATTAGTTTTATAGTGACGCGCGTGACGTTCACATTCAAATGAGCAAGCCTGTGCAAATGCCAACCCAAGTAACACATAACTCAGGAAGCTGCCCCAACTGAAGTCTGATGTCTGGAACCATTTTGGATTTAAAACAGCTAAAGATAATGTGCTGGATATGTGACATTATGGGGACTTCCCACTAAGTTGATAGCATCTTGTGCTACACACTACCAGTATTATTCAAGCCAGACAGCTGCAAATAGCCAATAGGTTGTAGCTCCCATTTGTTAATGAAGACATTAACAAATGGGAGCTGACCAGCAAACACCCTGTAGTTGTTACAGACAATGCTGCAAATATGGTTTGTGCAGTTAAGATAATGCAGCTCATGCATGTCTGCTGTGTCCCCGCTGTGTCACATCTGCTCGCTCGTGTGAGGCTTCACTTTTTCACATTCACAAACAAGTTTGCACTTTTTAGACAGCTTTGTTCATATCTCAAGTTTAAACTGTCTGATTTACAAGTTTGCACTCTGTGTTTAATATGACAGGAAAAAATAAAATACATGAGTATTTTGAAACACATTTGAAAAACTTTCATTATTTTAAAAACAGATCAAATCAAAATTATTCGATTTAGAACTGTATGAATCAAAATCGAATCGATTCAGGACTTTGGCGAAATTACCCTGCCTTAGTGCATACCCGACATTATTTGCTTTGTTCTTTCTGTTTGGTTGCTGTCGTAGTAGCTTTTCAATTTTCCATCCTGCCTTTAAGTTAATAAACCTCTGACGCTAACTAGATTTATTTTCGTATCACTTAGGGCTATCAGAATGAAAAGGGTTTAGAGAAAAATCCTGAAAACTGCAAATTCATGTTTTGTTAGCATTTTATATAAGATGAAAAAAACGTCTGAAATTTATGAAACAAATTAGGAGTAAGAATACATTTAAAAGGTTGTTAATGTCTTCATGTCGCTGTGTCTCCTCTCAGACGGTCGTGTCCAAGCACGGATCGCAGTTTCGTGGTAACTCCCAGCATGATGCCTTGGAATTCCTATTGTGGCTGTTGGATCGCGTCCATGAAGACGTCATTAAGGCGTTTCACAGCAACAACAACAGCAGGACCAAAACTCCTGAAAAGGTAAGACCCAAGCATACTATCAGACCACACAGAACCAGCATCATTGGAACAGATTAGAAGATGATGAACCAAATATTCTTTTCAAATTCTGCATATATCATCCAAGTAGATGTGTAATTTCCTTGTTTTTTAAAGTTCACACATCTTTGTCATCACATACAGTGCTATGCATATGTATTCATACGCGTTGAGCATGTTCACATTCTGCCAGGTAATAAAAAAACACAGAATAGTGCATGATTATGAAGTGAAACAAATAGAAACTTGAGCTGAAACCTTTACAGAAATAAAATTTAGACAAGACCCTTTAAATCATTACTGGCAATTAATGCAAGTATTTGGGTTTGACTCTACTTTGAACCAATGTGGAGTCTGAACTTTTTGTTCATTGGTCAGTGCCTGAAATTAAGTTTTGAAATTAGGGGTAATTCCACCCTTATATGTTTGAGAGTGAGGCGATTTATACATTTTTGGGGGAATTATTAATTAATAATTACAGGTCTTAAGTTGTGCTAACCAAACCTCAGATTAATATGTTGGTTTTTATTTTGCACTGTTTGTCTTCCTAGCTGTTGTTTCAGCTGCTCTTTCTTGCCCTTTACCCTGCATGATCTCCTTTTTTTCCTCATTTAACTTTGGGCTTAAAGGAACAACATATTTTTTAGGATGGAAAAACCTTCCAGGGAAAAAACGTGTTACTTACGCAGCTTAATATATTCTTACCTCAGATCAATGTATATGTAAGTAATTTTTTTCTTTGGTCATTTTGTTATTTGCAACAAAGTAAGCAGTTTTAAGAATCTCCTTTATTTCATCTTCAGGCTGCACTTCTGCATAGTGGATAGCGTTGGACATGAAATTTTTAGCTGAATGTGCCTCACATTTCCTATTCACTGCTGCAGTGGGAGAAACACCTTCAGAGTGGCTGTGGTGCAAAGTTGAGGTTTTACAGCTTTGGTTGGTAAAAGGTTCAGGACTGTACATTTTACAGATGGAGCAGCTTATTTCACCGGGGACGTAGCTTGAGCCAGTTAGGCTAAAATATATCTTTCGGCTTCCTAGTGATATTGACGCCTGCGGTCAATCCTGACATCACTTTTGATTCGCGTTGTTTTTTTAGAAGGTGGTTTCTTTGTTGATACGACCATAGATTTGTGTTTTAGCCTGCGATCCGTATTTGGAATATTTTAAATGTTAAAGACATTAAATATGATAACCCCTTGTCAGAAGAGAAGAAGAATAAAGAAAAGAAAAAGAACGTGCACCATTGTGTAGCAGAGATGTTCTTTGTGTAAATCCAAAAACGTGCACATTAGTAGCAACGCATCGCCATGATTTTTTTAAGAGAGGATTTCTCACATTATAAATACAGATTTGCGGGGATGGATTACATAATGCACTATGTAGCAGTGATTTTCAGACCCTGATTAAATTTTGAAAAGTTGTCTCTAGCTTAGCCAGGCTGGTTGAAACACTGACTTGGCCAATTTCGCCCAAGTACTTTTCTTTATCTGTACTGATTAATTTTGGCTCCGGTTATCAAATGCTTTTTTGCCGCTGCAAAGGCTGATTTATACTCAGAAACCAGGTCGTCTGCATGTGTTGCAGTGAACACAAATGTGCACCCCCCTCCCTCTTGCGTTGTGGCGTGGAATAACACAGCTAAGACCATGTTCCAATATTGGGCATAAAGCAAAAATATCTGGGAGAAGCTCACTGCGACACACTGCTGCGGGAGGATAACCAGCCCTTAAGGTGTAACTCAGGTCTTCTGTAGCTTCTGGCATATTGTCCATAAGGTTTACCCTGTATTTACCTCAATCTGTCTTCCCTTCAACTCTGATCAGCTTCATTTTTCCCGCAAAAAAAAAAAAAATTAAATAATAAAGCTTAACTGTTTTTAAATTATGTAACTTAAGAAGGTATATCATCTTAAAGACTAAAGGAGCTGAATTTATCCTTACAACACAATTTTTATATTCCAAATGATGCTCTGTTTATGTCAATATAAAACATTAAACTGCATTAAACTACACTAAGGTTTGTAATTTTAAAGTGATAGAATATTAAAAAACGCCCTCACTTTAGGGTCTGTAAAGAATGGGATACAGGTGAGGGTCTTGAACGATTCTGACATGCAATGCAATAAACAGAGGTACTGTTGCTAGTAATGGAAGAAGAAGAACAAACTTCTGTGTTTTTGTTTCACGCATGCTTGACATGAAAATCTCACAGGACAGAGCTCTCAGTCTAGTCATTTCACTGCTACAAGTGATTCACTCATGACCAAAATATCAAACAGGTTTGACTTTCTTGCATCCTGCGATTTCTGATCAGGAGCTCATCGTGAGGTGCCAGTTGCCTCCTGTGACCCCTTGTATACTGCACAATTAGGCCAAGAGTTGGCCTGACCTTCATCTTGTTGCACGACTAGAAAATTGTCCTAAAACTACAAAAAATTCAAAGCGTATACAAAAAAGTCATAGCGTATGGCATCAGGATTCTGCAAAAGGTGCACACACACAATAAATAGACAATAAATATAATAAACACCCATAAACTACTCGTTATATGTGTTTGAGCAATGTGTTACAGTACCACATTGCTCCAGTAGATAAGATTGCCGCTTTTGGCTTTATTTCCACACTTGCACAGCCTGCCTCTTACTAACGTGTGGACCTGTTTCTGCTTGCTCCTGTCTACTTTTATAACTTTGAATTCATCACCTACCGAAAAAAAAGGAACGCTCCTTTGATTGGCTACTCTTCAAGGTTATGAGTCTTCAGGCATCATGAGTTATGATGCCTTGCTAAGGTAACCAGCGTGAACCATCTTCCTGTTTCCAGGTAACGTTTGAGCTAGCAGAAGCAATTGGACTAGAACTTTTTCTGTAGCTGTCCTATAACCCTTTTCAATGGACACCCTACAGGTAATCAGAATCAAGTATTTACCAAGACCATGGTATATTTAATGATCACTGATGATGATTGGTGGATTGCTGATTGGCCTAAAAAAGTGAAGCCACCGTCTGCCATGCTTGTACTCCCTACTCCCATGGAGACACACAGTAAAAACGCCTTCACGTGTAGCATTTGGCTGCAAAAACAAGCAGTCTGCCGGCTGTGGGAAATTTCAATCAGTGGATGTACTAACCAAGAAAATCCACATATATGCGATGTAACCTACAGTATACTATGTAGCCTAATATTAGTCTGGCCTTCTCGGACTGACTCTAAAATATTGACTAAATTAGCCATTGACATCGTGCTTAACGTAAGAAAATAGAAAGTAGAGTAAATAGAAAGTAATTCACCATGAAATGTAAGTGTAGTAATTCTTTATTAAGTGAATGACGCCGTCGTTGTTGTAGTGTTTGTTGTATTTCTCATTTGAAAAAGTCATGTGCTCATATATTACATTTGATCCCTGTATATAGGTATATATAAAATACGCATGCATGAATTACATGTGTATTGCATATACATCATCAATTTAGTACTTTTGGCACATCTGTATTATTATGCTCCATTAACACATTAATATTGTTCAGATGGATTTGTATAATATGTAATATTACATGATTTATAGACTTAATTGACTTCATAATGACTATGTAATGTGATGTTGCCTACTTTTTTGGATTATAAGCTAAAGTAATCTACTTGTGCTATGAATCAGCAAGTGTCAAAGTGATGAATTTATCTTTATTTTAAAAGTCCTAAGTCCCCCTGAAAATGAGAACATCATCGTTGTTCAATGCTGTAGCGCACATTTGTTTGCATTGCAACCGGTCTAATAAGGGAGTACCAATATGGCGGCAGGTGGCTTCACTTCAACCCCGTACTACCAACAGGCAATCAGCAATCCAGTGAATAATGGAGATCAGTGTTAATGATAGCTTACCAACTGCCAACTGTTGAAGAGAAGCTTTTGGCCTGAAGTTGCTTTGCTTTGTAGGTAGAGTGTTGGCCTAGTAGTTAGAGCAGTGAGAAGGTTGCAAGTACCCGGTTGTATCCTCACAGCCTGCAGTCTGGGTTCCTGTGCAAGTCCCTTAATCCCACACTGCTCCCCGGGCACTGCACAGTGGCAGCCCATTAGTTAAATGCAGAGAGTTCATTTCTCCATTGTGTGATCGATAAAGTTTTATTTTGTAGGAAGAAGAATACATCCTCAAGAGGCAGAATTTCCTGAAAAGTAACCAATCATAAGTTGCTTGGTCCTGTGGGAAACACCTTCAAAATTACAAAAATTGGCATGAGCGCACAGGAAAAAGGTCAACACGCGAATAAGAGAGATTCTTTAAGTGCATAAAAAGCAGACCAAAACCATAGAAAAGGAGCATGCCCTTATGGTTAATCTCTCTGGTATATTTTGGGCCTAATAGTATTAAATCTTGACATATTCAATGTTGAAAATCTGTATGGAGAGTAGTTTACATGCATAAATAAAACAGCTTATATAAGTTTTAGCAGAGGTCTGACTTCCTAATAGTGCAAATTTGGACCTTTTTAGGAACTTATTTAACATGGAGTTATTTAACATCTAAAATCCATGCTGACAAGTGATTTTCTCCACCAGCTAATGTCATAATAAAAATCTCCAGAAATGTTTAGATGACACAACATTCAGTACCCTTTTTTTTCTCTGCAGAGGTTACGAAATTAGCCCCACAGACCAATTATAATGCGTCAAAAAAAGTGCAACAACCTTTTGCAGTGCAAACATGCTCTGTGTTTAACATGCTGCCCCAGAACAGGGAGGGTATAGACACGGACGATGTGGTGTTAGATTTCCTCTCAGTGTGGCTCCTTCTGAAAGTATGCCTGCAGGCGCAGTGCAGACTTGATATTCCTCTACTGGAACTTCAAACTGCTCTGCCATGAGCCATTTGAGCAGAATATTCATCTTTTATTCAAATCAAATTTTACGCTTTAGAAAGAGAAATCCCTCTTTAATATAGTTGGATTGGAGCAAGAGCTAATTTATTGGATGTAATGCTT